AGTCACCCTAAAAGAAAATGTAATTAAAAATACATACTAGAAAATTTAATAATTACATAGCACAAATCATACAGTAGTCTATTAAAAACAATAGGATCAAATAAAGACGATGCAAACAAGATACAAACAATAATAGGATAGCTAGCAAATATAAAATTCTAGTGTTGACAAATCTGAGTAGTAATCAACCAATTCTTCATTTGAACCCTAAATAAAGCATATGTGTCTAGATCTCTTATAGTTGTCGGAATAGTATTCCATTCTTGTGCAGCTTTGACAGAAAAAGCAGACTGACTAAAATTACTTCGTCTAAGAGGTATGATACAGTCTGCTCTTAATGCACCTCTTGTAGAATGATAATCAGTTGTTCTAATACTAACTAACTGACCAAGAGGGGGAGAAGATAAACCATATTTTTATACGTCAAGCATACATTTGCATACTTAATCATGTTTTTCCAACTTAACAAATTCAATTTTTTCAGTATTAGACAATGATGATAATGTACAGATTTCTTATCGAAGACTTTAAGTGTACGTTTTTATAAGGACTAATGGTTTTAGAGTCACTGAACTCGCCTGAGACCAGGGGACTGTTTCATAAAAGACGCTAAAAAGCGGGGATTAAAGTCCAAAACCTGACTTGAAATAACCTAACAAATCAATCAGGACTAAAGCGGCTTCATAAACGACAATTTAAGTTCACACAATCTCACTAATTCGATCCAGGTTCAATGAGTCAGGATAATTTGATGTGCACGCTTATTCTTAAGCAGCCCTTAATGTCGATCATGAATCAAATCGATCCACCAAGGCAAACAGCAAATATTTGTGTTGTTTAATTCATTTGAGACATTGTGTTTTCCTCAGTGCATAACTGACACATCACAGGTATATTTTTCATCTGTAAATGTTAGAAAGTCATGCAAATATATCCATTTTGCTGTCAAGAGTGGCTAGGCTTACGTGAGTGAACGAGCGCTGCTATTTGTGCAGTTTAATGCATTTGAGACATTGTGTTTTCCTCAGTGCATAACTGACACGTCACAGGTATATTTGTCATCTGTAAATGTTAGAAAGTCATGCAAATATATCAATTTTTCTGTCAGGAGTGGGCGAGGCTTACGTGAGCGAATGAGCGCTGCTGCTAGCATGCGCGCTAAACAGATGGAACGCAATAGAATAATAGCGCAATAATTCTGAATAAAATATGCATTCTGCTAAAATATGTGTTGTTGGACATTAAATGTGACACATGCAGAATTTTAATCCTACATATAAGTGTATTTTTATCATAGCAGTAACTGTAAATCAAATGTAAGCTGGCTAC